TTAACATAGTGTTTTACATTAAGACATCAAGTTTAATTAAAACACATAGATATAGGGAAATCAAAGCCAATCTCCAACATGCTTGATTCCCATTGCTTGAACCTGCTTGTTGGGCTTCACTTGAGGCAAGGGTTTAGTCAATGGATTGGCTACGTTGGCGTCTGTTCCAATCTTACAAATTCTGATTCCATTCCTTTATCATGTGAAATCGTCGCTTGACATGTTTGACCTTCTGGTGTTCCCTTGGCTCATTGGCCTGAGCAATAGCTCCTTTGTTATCGCAATGGAGGTCTATCGGACCCTTAATGGAGGGTATAACACCAAGTTCACTAATGAACATACGAATCCAAACTGCCTCCTTAGCTGCTTCCAAAGCTACCAAGTATTCTTCTTCAGTTGTAGAATCTGCAGTGGTGCTTTGCTCAGCACTCTTCTAATTAAACGCTCCTCCATTCAGGCAGAATATGTACCCTGACTGCGACTTGGAGTCGTCTCTGTCAGTCTGGAAGCTCGTGTCAGTATAACCATCAACAACCAAATCATTACAGCCACCATAGACCAGAAACTTATCCTTATTCCGTTTCAAGTACTTTAGGATATTCTTGGCCGCAGTCCGATGCGCAACTCCTGGGTCTGATTGGTATTGGCTCGTAGCACTCAAGGCGTACGATACATCCGACCTAGTACATATAATGCCATACATGATCAATCCAATAAGCAAAGCATATGGAATCTGACTCATCCTCTCTCGCTCATCGGGTGTCTGTGGACACTGCTTCTTGCTGAGAGTTATGCCATGTTACATGGGTAGGCGCTCTCTCTTGGCCCCTTCCATGTTGAATTGTGCCAGTACCTTATCAATATAAGTACTTTAGCTTAATCCAATAATCCTTTTAGATCTATCTCTATAGATCTTGATGCCCAATATGTACTGTGCCTCTCCCAAGTACTTCACTGAAAAGCACTTTCCAAGCCAGCCCTTTACGGATTCTAACAGTTTAGTGCTGCTTCCAGTGAGTAATATGTCATCAACATATAAGACTAGGAATGTCATCCCACAGACCTTCTTGTAAACACAAGACTCATCTGGATTCTTGATAAAACCAAACTTACTAATGGCTTCATCGAATCGCAGATTCGATATCTCATAATCATAATATGCAGCAATCGCTAGGATAATCCAGACAGACTTAAGCATTGCGACTGGTGAAGAGGTTTCATCATAATCAACGCAGTGAATTTGCCTGTAACCTTTTGCCACTAGTCCAGCTTTGTATATAGATACATTTCCATCTTTGTCCGTTTTCAACTTGAAAATCCATTTACAACCTATAGGTTTGTAACCTTTGGGCAAATCAACCAAGTCCCAGACTTGATTTTCAGACATGGAGTCCATCTCTGATTTCATGGCTTATTGCCATTTTGCAGAGTCGGGGCTCGTCATAGTTTGTTTGTATGTCGCTGGATCAACTCCATCCATAACTAGGATATCTTGATCTTCGGTTAAGACAATACCAACTTATTTGTCTAATTGAGATCTTGGCCGTTGCGACCTACGCATGGTAATAGGTTGAGCATTTGCATTGTAGGTTTGACTCTAACCAATGTCATTAGCTACATCTAAAGCACTTTGATTGTCAGTTTTGTTAGGTTGACTTTGTTGTTCGTCCTCTCGAACTTCGTCGAGTTCGATTTTCCTCCCACTTGTCATTTTGGAAAGGTGTTCCTTCTCCAAAAAGACACCATCACTAGCAACAAACACATTGTTCCTAAATTTGGTTTAGAAGTAATACCCCTTGGTTTTTTTTGGGTAGCCCACATGATTGGGGTACAATAGGTCGTTGGTCTACTACCCTAGATCAAATTTACAATTTATAATCCTAACCTAACTCTATCAAGTTCACACTAGATAGTGACAAGCTAGGGTCAAACCATAAGGACTAAGTGTATTAATTTGAAGTAATAGACTAGTAGGAAGGTTGTGAGATAGGTAGAGAAACATCTAAAACACTACTTAAAGCAATTAGTAAGATATTCGGGAAAGGGGAATCCAATTACATTAATGAATTCAATAACAAGTCGCAATTAGATGATCATGATCTCAATTAGGAACGATTAAATAGTCAACTCACTCAGCGCAATTAAGCATGCTAATTATCCTACTAAGCTAATTCACTCCCGCGCAACAAGCCTAGCAACGGTATGGAAGAATCTAGACTCTCAATCAACTCACTTCCGCACAATTGAATGAAAGCACAATTAAGAACCAAGAATCAATTAGCTAAAAAGATTCTAGTCAATGTAAGCATCATCCAAACACAATAATCAAGAATCAATTGCATACTAATCACAACCAATCACTTAATTCATCAACCTAACCTTCATCCATTTTCCTAGAACAAAAACTAAGCAAACATAATGAAGAAAAACATGGAAAACAAGGTAAAACTAGAATTAAACCAAGAATCAAATAAGCAAACTAATTAACTACTCTAATCAACAATGAAATAAGCAAAAACAAGAATTAAACAAAGCAATAAAGGTGAGAGAAATTTAGAAAATCTCATTGAATAGATGAGAAGATAATCCAAAAAATTGCTTCTTCAAGCTCTCAAATCTCCATTAAAATCCAAGCTTTCTCTCTCTAAAACTACTCCTAAACTAGAGAGAGAAAATCCTAATCTAACCCTAATCCTAATTAGAGGAGAGAGGAAATGTAAAACTTCCCTTAAGGAAGTCTAAGAAGTCCTTTATTTATATTATAAGAAGAGAAAGAATGAAATCCGGAAATTATGCTCAAACAAGACCGAGAAACCCGTGCCCGCGGCAAGGTTTCTAAGAGGCATCTCCAGAAATTTGCAACACCTGGGAAGAAAAGAGGGTCGCGCCCGCGGCGGCTGCGCAGCCTAGCAGCATCTTGCTGATTTAAATGGCCATAACTTCTGTTCTAAGAAAGTCTCTTGGGGTGTGCAACCTACTGTTGGAAAGCTCTTCAAGTCTGGTTTCCAACGCAATTTGAACCGCCTCAATCCGATGTGTAGATCAAAAGTTATGGCTGAAAGAGTGAACAAGACTCGGTTCAAGGCCTTCTACGAGCTTCAAGCTTTCTTGTCTCAAGCTTCTTAGCTTCTTTCTTAGCTTTAAGCTTCTTCTATTGAACTTTCTTGCCTTTTCTCGGGTCATAAGCATGGAAGAAAGCGTCAAGCACCTACACAAATGACCAAGAGAGAAAAGAGTGAAAGAACCCATAGAAAAACATGCAAATCAAGCTAGAAATCGAGCAAAAAGCATACTATTCAAAACTAAGGCCTAAAACCATAAACTAAGACAAATATAACTAAAAAAAGACTAAAAGAAATAGAAATAACAAAGAAACACCGAAATAAACCTAAAACTAAGGGAGAAAAACGCCCTAATATGCGTTATAAATGACACTTATCATGTACATACTTATTTATACCATTAGAAAAATATTTATACCACTCCAACATTCAATGGTAATATTTATCTATTTAATGGTACTTTATTCATTCATGTTAATATTTACACGTTGCCATCCAATTTGTTTCAAAAAAAATAATTATTTTAACTATGGGTAATATTTAACTATTGGTGACCCTCCTTCTATTGGTGATATTCCAGCCCCTCTCTCATCAATTATTGAGGAAAAGGGTGATTTTTCCACCCAAAAAGATTTTGAGGAGGTTTTTCCTTTTTATTCTTTTTCTTTTTCTAATTTTCTTGATTTTTCTTTTTATTTTTCTTCTTTCTGTTGGCATCTCTCACCTCATTTGCGTGTAATAATCTTGTTGTACTTCCTTCTCCCGTCATTTTCCTACCGTTTATCCTATGAAATGTGTATTAGTGCATTTGACAAGCTCTTGCGTTCGTTGCAATATTATTTACTAGAGCGGTCAAGCTTGGACCTTAAGCAAGCTAACCTTTCTCGTGAAGTAACCCGTGTTTTATTGCTTTCATTTTCTTTTCTTTTTAGTATAAATTTTTACTAATGAAAATGTTTGTGTGCTCTTTGCTAGGTACATAACTTGATATACTTTGGTGAATTGGTATTGGATCAAGAATCAAGGAAGTTTGGCTCCTCTTTCTTAGCATATGGTATATAAGGCATAGCTTCAGAGGAAATTAGCTTTGAAGGGTTAAATTGGGTCATTTGCGGGTATTTACACCCACCTATATCCGGTAATATTTGTCCTTGCTCTTTCTCTAAAGGTTGGTGGCTTGAAGACTATGTGTTGGTGATGTAAAAACTAATAGAAAGTCTTAGTTAATACAAGCTTAATGGATCAAACTTAAGTGGAAAGAAAAAAAAAAGGTTGGTGTTTTAAGTCAAGTTACGGGTAAAGGTTTGTAGGTTGTTTTGGAAATGGTTAAGGAACGTTTTTTAGAGGAAAGAAGGATTAGCTTGTAAGGATTACTCACTTAAACAAACAAGATATGTAGGCAAGGATTACTCACTTAAAACCCACTAGTTGTTTAATTTGCATGGAAGGAAAACTCACTTAACCACTCAAATTCGTCAAGTTAAACTTAGAAAAAAACGATTTATCTTAACAACAAGAATAAATAGTTTGAAGGAGAAAACTTTCTTAATTCATATATCATAATCTTCCATACACTTACATTTCATAAACTTAAATAAAGAAAACAAACTAGTACTAAACTACACGCATTAAACAAGCTTAACATGTGTTTATTGTAACTAAACATGAAAGCTAAAACCTAGCCTAGAATCACGCCTATGCTAAGCAGATTTTCTTAACTGATTTTAGGATTTAATCAACCTTAATTAACCTCTTAAAAACTGCTGAAAAGAAGCTTAAAAACAGCCATAAAGAACCAGCAAAAAACGTGGAGTAACCTCCCCTTGATTCATGCCTTTCTTCATGCTAAATGTTTATGACTTGCAATGAAGTTTCTCCTTGCTTCAAGGACGCCTTTTCCTATGCCTAAGGCTGTTCAAAACGTGCCTAGGATGCCCATTAACATTCATAACCAGAATGTAAACAAGTAAACCCTTGGTTAGCAAGAAACGGTCCATGCGCACAAAAAGTATCTAACACTTGATCTTCAAATGACTTAGCAAGAATGATTTCTTTGTGAATTGGAATTGTAGGATGATCATGCTTGATTGGACTAATAGACTCTTCATGATTTGCATCATCCTCCCCTTCTTCGAAAGGAGTTGCCCTCAACTCATCATCTTCTAGATAAGGAGCCAAGTCACCCACGTTGAAAGTTGATGAAACTCCGAATTGCCCTCCAAGGTCCACTTTGTAAGCATTATCATTGATCTTTTCCATTATTTGAAAAAGTCCTTCTGCCCTAGGCATAAATTTGTGTTTCCTTTGTTTAGGAAACCTTTCTTTGCGCAAGAATATCCACACAAGATCACCCACTTCGAACTTCTTCATATTTCTCAAGTTTTTGTTAGCTTGCTTCTTGTATGACTCATTTGCCTTTTCTATGTTCTTCCTAACTTCTTTATGGACATCAATCATGAATTCTATATGCTCCTTGGCTGTCCCATGCACGAACTTATCTTTAGGAAGCGAAATGTAATCAATCGGCACATAAGGATTCACACCATACACAACTTCAAAAGGTGAATACTTTGTAGTTTTGCTTGGAGTTCTATTGTAGGAAAACTCTGCATGAGCTAACTTCAAGTCCCAATATTTACCTCCCTTATTCACTAAGGCACGAAGCAAAGAACCAAGAATTCGGTTCACCACTTCGGTTTGACCATCCGTTTGTGGATGATGGCTTGTTGAGAAAAGTAGCTTAGTACCCACGAGCCTCCACAAGGACTTCCAAAAATGGCTCACAAACTTAGTGTCACGATCCGAAACTATGGTTCTAGGCAAACCTTGTAATCTAGCCACTTCTTTAAAAAAAAGTTGCGCCACATTGAACGCATCATCCACCTTCTTACAAGCTATGAAATGAGCCATCTTTGAAAACCGATCAACGACCACCATGATAGAATCTTTTCCACGAGCTGTTCTAGGCAAGGCCATTATGAAATCCATACTCAAATCTTCCCAAGGTCTTTCGGGAATGGGCAAAGGCTTATACTCTCCCTTATGAAACGTCATTTTGGCTCTTTGACAAATAGAACACCTAGCCAAAACTTGGTGCACATTAGCTAACATTTTTGGCCAATAAAAATGACTTTGTAAGATTTCTAGGGTCTTTTGTATACCCATATGACCAGCAAGTCCTCCTCCATGAGCTTCCTTGATCAACAACTCTCGAATTGCACCTTTAGGAACACAAAGTTTGTTCCCTTTGAAAAGGAAACCATCTATTACGACAAATGAACCGTGGACTCCATTCTTGCAAGACTCCATGATTTCCTTGAGTTCAAGATCATCTTTGTATGATTCCTTCATGACCTCGAAACCAAGAATTTTAGTTTCCATGATTCCAAGAAGATTATGCCTTCTTGATAATGCATCCGCCACAATATTGGTTTTGCCTTTCTTGTACTTGGTTGCAAAGTTGAAAGATTGTAGGAATTCCACCCACTTAGCATGCCTTGCATTCAACTTCTTTTGCCCATGAATGAAGCTTAAAGATTCATGATCCGAATGTAAGATGAAAGGCTGTGGCCTCAAATAATGTGACCAATGATCCAAAGCTCGAACCATGGCATAGAATTCTTTGTCATAAGTGGAGTAATTCAATTTTCCTTGGCTCAATTTCTCACTAAAATACGCAATTGGCTTCTTCTCTTGGATTAGGACAGCCCCTATTCCTTTTCCACTTGCATCACACTCCACTTCAAATGGTTTCATGAAATCTGGAAGGGCTAGAACCGGCGCTTCACACATCTTCTTTTTCACCAACTCAAACGCCTTTTGAGCCTGTGGAGTCCATTGAAAGCTTCCCTTCTTTGTACATTCGGTGATGGGAGCCATAAGGGTGCTAAAATGTTCAATAAACCTCCTATAGAACGAAGTAAGTCCATGAAATGAACGAACCTCCGTGACTGTTTTTGGAATTGGCCATGAAGAAATGGCTTCCACTTTGCTTGGATCAACTTTAATTCCTTCACCTGAAACAATATAACCAAGGAAAACAATATATGTTAGCAAAAAATGGCACTTCTCCAACTTCCCATACAATTGTTTCTCTCTCAAGGTTTTGAAAATCTCTTCCAAGTGTTTCAAGTGCTCCTCCTCATTTTTACTATAGATGAGAATGTCATCTAAGTAAACAACTACAAACTTCCCCAAAAATGGCCTCAACATTTCGTTCATAAGTCTCATAAAGGTGCTTGGAGCATTTGTTAATCCAAATAGCATAACAAGCCACTCATACAAACCATGCTTAGTTTTAAAGGTTGTTTTCCATTCATCACCTTCCCTCATTCTAATTTGGTGATATCTACTCCTCAAATCTATCTTGGAAAACACTTGAGCTCCACTCAACTCATCTAACATATCATCAAGTCTAGGAATAGGAAACCTATACTTAATGGTTATGTTATTCACCGCCCTACTATCAATACACATCCTCCATGTTCCATCCTTTTTTGGCACTAACAAAGCTGGAACGGCACAAGGACTCATGGATTCTCTCACGTAACCCATTTGCATCAACTCCTCAATTTGTCTTTGTAATTCCTTAGTTTCCATGGGATTGCATCTATAAGGGGGTTTATTCGGAAGGGGGGCTCCCGGAATCAAATCTATTTGATGTTCTATACCACGAATAGGAGGCAACCCTTGTGGTAATTCATTAGAAAAAACATCTTCATACTCCTTGATCAATGCGGCTAGCCTAGGGTTTTGTTGGACAAAACCTTCGTGTTCCTCTTTAGAAAACAATAAGAACACTTCATCTTCCTTCTCCAAAGAGTTTTCGAATTCTTCTAAGGAAAGCAACAAAATGTCCTTTCTTTTGGGCTCTTTTTGTGGTGGTGGGGATTGTGTTTGGGAAAGGCTTTTTTGTGGTGGTAAGGGGTGCAACACTTTCTTGCTGCCTTGGTGAGTAATGGTGTAGGTGTTTGATAGGCCATCATGTACTGATTTTTTGTCACTTTGCCATGGCCTCCCTAACAAAATGTGACAAGCATCCATGGGAATGACATCACATAAAATTTCATCCACATACGAACCAATCTGAAATTTTACTAGACATTGTTTTCTAACTCCCGTACTCTTGCTCTTATCAAGCCAACTCAACTTGTAAGGAGTAGGATGTCTAGTAGTCTTCAAGTCAAGTTTCTTAACAAGATCACTTGACACAACATTAGCTTCACTGCCACTATCAACAATCAAGTCACACACATCTTCATTAACCTTGCATTTGGTTAAGAAGACATTTTCTCTTTGAATTGGGGTTTTCTCAACCTCCACGTGCATTTGGAGGGCTCTCCTCATTACTAGACTATTTTTTTCGGGAAAACAGTCATCAACTTGCTCCTCCTCCTCATTAGAATCATAAGACTCTAAAGGTACATTTTCACTACCATTTTCGTTCTCCTTCTCTTCTTCAAGGACAAAAGGTTGTGCCATCATATTCTTAAGCTCTCGTATGGTTAAAGCTCTTGCATTAGGACAATCTCTCTTGTAATGTCCTCTTCCATGACATTTGAAACAAACAATGTCACTTAAGTCTCCGGTTTTGGCTTTTCCTTTTTCTTTTTGTGAAAGATCAAACGAGGCAGGGTTCTTTTTGGTAGTGGAATTTGGAAAGGAAGGGGTTTCTTATGGTGGGTTAAATGGGCGTTTGAATTTTGGGTCAAAAGGGTTCGAAGGTTTCTTCTTCTTCTTTTGATTGTCAAATTTCACCGAAAGCTTACAAGCTTCATCAAAGGTCAGATTGGGTTGCACTTCTACTTTCTCATAAATGTCCTTATCCAAACCAGCCATAAACCTCCCTAATTTGAGTTCTTCATTTTCCACTATTTCACACACAATGGAAAGTTTCTCAAATTCTTTAATGTATTCCTCCACACTACTCCCTCCTTGCTGCAAAGTGCTCCATTTCACATACATGGATTGCTTGTAATTAGAAGGAACAAATCGTCCCCTAAGTTTCTTCCTAAGCTTGGTCCATGTAGAAATACGAGTTTTCCCATTGCTTTCTCGTTTTCTTTGGACTCCTTTCAACCAAGTTTTAGCATACTTGGCTATCTTTACCTTAGCAATCTTGTACTTTTGTTCATCTTCCTCAACGTCTTTGAACTCAAAGTACCTCTCAAGTGATTGCTCCCACTCCAAGTACTTCTCAGGGTCAAGAGTACCATCAAAAAGGTCTACATCCACCTTTAGACTCTTGTCATCACATCTAGGAGGGTTTTGACGCCCATCCCTTTGTTCTTGTGTCAACAAACGAGCCATTAGAGCCATTATATTACCATGTAATTGCTCATTGGTTTCCAAGAGTCTTTGTTGGTTTTCCTCCATCATTCTAAGTCTCCTTTGGTCAATGGTTTCATTTGGGTTTGCTTGATCCATTATGGACAGAAATGCCCCCTACCTGACGCGCCAAATGATGTAAAAACTAATAGAAAGTCTTAGTTAATACAAGCTTAATGGATCAAACTTAAGTGGAAAGAAAAAAAAAGGTTGGTGTTTTAAGTCAAATTACGGGTAAAGGTTTGTAGGTTGTTTTGGAAATGGTTAAGGAACGTTTTTTAGAGGAAAGAAGGATTAGTTTGTAAGGATTACTCACTTAAACAAACAAGATATGTAGGCAAGGATTACTCACTTAAAACCCACTAGTTGTTTAATTTGCATGGAAGGAAAACTCACTTAACCACTCAAATTCGTCAAGTTAAACTTGGAAAAAAACGATTTATCTTAACAACAAGAATAAATAGTTTTAAGGAGAAAACTTTCTTAATTCATATATCATAATCTGCCATACACTTACATTTCATAAACTTAAATAAAGAAAACAAACTAGTACTAAGCTACACGCATTAAACAAGCTTAACGTGTGTTTATTGTAACTAAACATGAAAGCTAAAACCTAGCCTAGAATCACGCCTACGCTAAGCAGATTTTCTTAACTGATTTTAGGCTTTAATCACCCTTAATTAACCTCTTAAAAACTGCTGAAAAGAAGCTTAAAAACAGCCATAAAGAACCAGCAAAAAACGTGGAGTAACCTCCCCTTGATTCATGCCTTTCTTCATGCTAAATGTTTATGACTTGCAATGAAGTTTCTCCTTGCTTCAAGGACGCCTTTTCCTATGCCTAAGGCTGTTCAAAACGTGCCTAGGATGCCCATTAACATTCATAACCAGAATGTAAACAAGTAAACCCTTGGTTAGCAAGAAACGGTCCACGCGCACAAAAAGTATCTAACACTTGATCTTCAAATGACTTAGCAAGAATGATTTCTTTGTGAATTGGACTTGTAGGATGATCATGCTTGATTGGACTAATGGAATCTTCATGATTTTCATCAGTTGGTTTGTTGCATTGATTACTTTCTTTTCCCCTTCCATGGACTCCTATGATTTATGATTTGAGTGTATTGTCTCATTCAAGCTTGGGGGAGGGTATTCTATCATGCTTGGGTAGAATGTTGGTCCATTTTTGACATGCACTTGAGTATATTCATTTCCATGTGTTTTCTTATATTTTGAAAAATTCCAAAAAGATTTTTGTTTCTATCAAGGCAATTTGCAATGTGTTTTGTTTTATTCTTGATTTGGACATAATACTTTTGGATTTGTGTTCTTGAATGATTTTCTTCCTAAAAGTAGTGGTTTGCACGCTTTGAAATATCATGGGTTGATTTTAGGATAGAATATGCTAAGGTAGTATGTTAAGAACTTTGGGACCTTGAACCCCTAGTCTACTTGTTCGTTTGTGGTAAGAAGAAGTTGCTTCCTATAGTGAATTTGAAGCCAATAGTGAGTTTTTGCTACAACCATGTGAGGTTTTGTTTCTCTAGCTTTCTACCTATTTTGCATGAGTGGCACATGGATCCTTGACAATCACTTACTTTATTTAGAACTTGCCTTTTATCTCCCGAGATCGCGACCGAACCATTTAGGAAGGACGAAGGCATCTTTTTGGGGTGGTTATTTTTGCTTTTCTAGGTTTCGATTTTACATTTTTGATTTTGGGTTTACATTTGCCTCCTTGCTAACCATTTGAGCCTTACCTTTTTTTTTTCTAGCCATATTATTAGACTTCATACCATTTGTTTCATTATTTCCACGTTTGGTTCTTGTAAAGCTAGTGGTAATGAGTTTGTTTAGTGATTATAAGTGCAATAGTTTTAAGGTATGAGCTCATTTTGTATAGCAAATATGTATTGTGTATAAGTTTGTGAATAAAAGCAAATGTAAAGTTAAAAAAGCCGTCCAAATCAAAAGTGGCGAGGACAAAGCAATAAAAAAAATTAATTTGAAAAGCACAAATGTATTTTGATGCAGTTAAGATTTCCCTAGTTTAGGGCATTGAGGACAATGCTCGATTTAAGCTTGGGGGAAGCGTGTCTACGCTTTATATATATATGTTCGTGATTTTTCTTTGAATAAGATTGGGGGTGTTAATATTTTTGTTTGAGTTTTGGTGATAACTTGATTATGGTGTTGAGAATTGGCCATTCTTATGCTTCACAATTAAGTATACCACCAATTTTCAAATTTTTAGCCTACCTTTCCCCTTTTTGCCCATACGTTACAACCCTTCAAAGACCTTTTGACCTTTGTGGTTGAGTCACAAGTTGGTGGAGGGAGATGGGAGTCAAGCTTATGGTGCGGTTTGCATAGTCAAGATGTCGAGTATCCCTAAAATCTCTTCTTTTCTGGTTCCCTAGTAGAATCATTGAGATGGTCACTAGAGGTGAATTTGAATCTAGTACGGAGAACGCGGTAAGATCGTTTGGGATGAAGGTGAATTGTGTCTTATTAGTTCTCTATGCTTAGCATTTCTTATGTTTCAATCAACCTTGGATATCTTGAAGCGTGCATTCCTCTATTGTTTAGAAAGACTTGTATTCATTTGTGATTGTTCATTTGCAAAAGTCCATTCATGAAAATTTGTTTTCCTTCCTTTTCTTTTGATTTCCTTTTTATGCTTTGCCTTGTTTTGCTTCGTTTTTTTTTCAAGAGTTGTGGGTTAAACTCTTAGGAAACCCCCACAAGAGCACCACAAAGAAACACTTGTTAGATTTTGGGTGAATTTTGTCAAAAATCAATCTTTTGACATATGCTTCGCTACCCCAAATCTTAAGAATAGACAACCGTGGAGGTTTCTTCGTCCATAATTCAAATAGAGACTTTTCAACAGCTTTTGACGGAGCACAATTCAGTGCTAGTGCCGCAGTTAGAAGTGTGTGTCCCCAGTAGGAGAGGAAGTTCACTTAGACCCATCATTGATCGAACCATGTCTAATAAGGTTCGATCCTCTGTTAAGACACTCCGTTCCATTGTGGAGTTTCGAGAGGTGTTAATTATGAAAGAATACTATTTTCTTTCAAGTGATCATCAAATTCGTGGCTCAAATACTCGCCACCTCAATCCGATCGAAGTGCTTTGATATTCTTGGCAAGTTGATTTTCAACTTCACTCTTAAACTCTTTGAATTTCTCAAAAGATTCATATTTGTTCGACATAAGGTAGACATAGCCATATCTACTATAGTTGTCCGTGAAGGTGATGAAATATCGACTACCATTCCTTGTAGGTAAACTCATTGGTCCACATACATCCATATTTATGTCACCTAATAAGTCACTAGCCTAATAGACATCCTTCGTAATTTTCAAACGACTCCAATTCGAATGAGTCAGGAATACCCTCATGAAGAAGTTTCTTGATGCTTTTGATGTTAATGTGTCCAAAAAAATGACAATGCCACAAGTAGGTTTGATTCGACTCAATGGTCTTAGCTCTTTTGGCAGTATCGTCAATTTGTCTAATCATATGTAAAACACGCAATTTTTATTGAACATTTAAGCAAGACATTTCAAAAACAAACCAATGTTTAAGTCTTGTGATCAAAGTAACCCGGTGTCCAACACCATAGATCAAAAGTACCTGAGGTAGATACAACATTCCTCTCCTCCTCATCCTTTCGGAAGAGCTTGCATTCCCTCTTATAGTGTCCTTGACCACCATAATAGAAGCATCACATCTTCGCCTTGTTATTGAACTCCCTCTTCCTTGCTCTTAAGGGCCTTTCGGTTGCTCCATAGGAGGTGGCTCGGTGAAGCAGTTGCACCACCTCTTATAAAGAGTATGTCTCCTTTCCCGCAACTATATGCACTCTAAGTGCAACATAGCCCGAGTGGAGTGAAGTAAGCAAGATATGACCCGCCATCTCATCCTCTAATGAGATTCCGAGAAGCTCCATGTGCTTGAAGAGCCTAGTCATTCTGAGCACATGAGGTCGGAGGGGCATACCGGGTCTCAATTTGGTATTGTATACCCTTGACCAAAGCCGACGCCTCTCCTTAGCAAGACAACCTACTTTTGGTGGTATCTTCATGTTCGAGAGTGACCTAGTCACATCAAACACGAGACCATCATAGTTTCCATTGTCACTCT